GCTTTTTGTAGTAGGAGGGCTAGTCTGACAGCATTTATCTTCTGTTATGGGAAGGAAGACTCCTCTGTCATTGATAGTAGAGTACACTTCCCTTAGTTGTGGGCAGAAATTATTTTTTCAGAGATTTTTGCTATAGGCTGTGTGCACGTGCCATTGGGACAAGGTGAGAAATCACTCCCAAGGTGGGATGGCCATGCTGCAATCCCTTCTCTGCTCTCCTCTTGGCATTCTGGGCACAGATGCCTGGGGTGAGTTTAAGCTGCTGGGTCTGGGACTAAAATCACAGTTGACTATGTGGGAGTACAGCAACGTAATCATTAGGCCATCTGCTGGTCCCCCATTTCACTTTTTTTTCCAGAGGGATTTTTGCTATAGGGTACGTGCACTTGCCAGAGAGACAGAGATAGAGAGACAAAAAGTGAGAAATCATCCCCCCAAGGGCATGGCCATGTTGGAATCCCTGCTCCTCCAATCTCCTCGCTGGATTTTGGGCAGGCACGCACATGAACCTGGTGTGAGTTTCAAGCTGCTGGGTCCAGGACTTGAACTATGGTCAGCCATGTGGGAGTTGAGCAATGTAAACACTATGCCATCTGCTGGTTCCCCCACCCCATTTTACTTTAAAGAAGGAAAACTAAGAGTTAAGCTAATGTCCTTCAAAATCCTGAGAGGGGAATGGAGGAGAAAGGATTGTGGTGTGATCATTTCCCTTGGGGCGTGATTTCTCACCTTCCTTCTCACTGTCTTCCTCTGTCTCTCTCCTGCCAGCAGATGTGCCCTACTGCAAAAACCTTAAAAAAAAAAAAAAGGTAATGTCCTGCGTCTATTAAATTCACTTCAACCTGTCCTTCTCTTAATATCAGATCCAATTTCCAACCTACTTGCCAGGTGATATTCTTCACAGTAATCAGATCAATAATGCATATTTTATAATCTCTCTGGTTATGATCTTTTGTAAATATGGACTAGAACATAGAATAAAGGGAGCTGCTATAACTGACAAACATAGCAGCACACATTTTTAGAGGTCCCACAACACAGGAATATTTCTACACAATGATTGATTTTTTATTAACAAGAAATAAAATGTAAAATAAATTAAAATATGCAAAGCTTCCATCAGATCAACCACTGGAATCGGGTCTACTGAAGAGGCAACTATCCAATTCTTATACAAGACACTGACCTGAATAAAACATCCAAACTAAAAGAAATGTAAAGATTTTATCCACATTTTGAAGCACACCCAACTCTCTAACTCCAAAGACTGTTGATCTGCTCATAAATTTAATATAGTTATATAAAAGCGTATGTGTATAGAGTCCTGTTGGTGGTGTGATGTTTAAGGGAGCTGGATCCCATATGGCCAACTGCACAGTTTGAGTCCCAGACCTGATGGCTTAAGAAACACTTGTCACATGTGCATACATGCCCAAAATCCAGACAGGAAAATGGAGAAGATATTACAGTGCACCCTCCCCTGGGGAGTGCTTTCCTACTTTCCCTCTCTATCTCTCCATTTTTCTGTCTCTCTCTGGTGAGTGTATGCATACCATAGCAAAAAACAACAAAAAATGTATATATGTGTGTGTTGTATGCGTGTAAATGCATTTTATCCTAGTATACATAATATAATACTACAACATTTTTCATTTTTATTACTTTTCCTACGTATGAGCATGGTATTGTAGACAGGGTTCTGCCATATCATGATCCTTCTGCCTCCGCCTGCAGCACAACTGAGATCACAGGCGTAGAGCACCAGGCCCAGCTTCTTCAGGTAGGGTTTCTCTATATTGCCCAGAACAGACCTGAGCTTGTAATACTCCTGCCTCAGTCTCCCCAGTAGCTGGAACTACAGAGCGTGCCACCACGCTCGCTTTTCTTTAAGGATGGGCCAGAAATCAAACCCAAGGCTCCCATGTGAAATCCACTTACCAAGCAGCAGTGTCCAGCATGACTACCACAGCTGGGTCTATAACACTTTTTAAAACAGGTTGGTGGGTCCAGCAGGTGGCATGGTGGTTGAGGCACTAGACTCCCATACGGTCGGCCATGGTTCAAGTCCCGGACCCAGAGGCTTGAAACTCATGCCAGGTGCATGTGCGTGTGTGCCAAGTAGAATGGAAGAGAATGGACTGTGGCGTGGCTATCCCCACTGGGGGGTGATTTCTCACTTTCTCTCTGTGTCTCTAGCAAGTATATGCACCCTAAAGCAAAAAATATCTCTATAAGTAAATAAATAAAAACAAGTTGATAATTAGACTAACCTCATACTAGACGTCTCTCAGGTTAAGCATCTGACCCAAGCCTTGGCAATCTGACCAAGCCTAGTCACATGTATCTCTCTCTCTCTCTGATTGCAAAAGCACATGCACACTTACCAGAGAGAAGCAAGGAAAAAGCAACCTCCAAAAGGGCATGGTCATACCACAATCTCTTCTCCATTTTTCCATCCTGTTGAAATTTTGGGCAGGCACATATGCATGCCCTACAGATTTTTCTTTTCTTTTTTTTTTTTTAGAGTTATTTATTTTATTTTATTTGTTCTTCTTCTTCAATTTGACCAGAGAGAGAGAGAGAGAAAGCAAGGTGCCAGGTCTGGGACTCAAACTGCAGTCAGTCATGTGGGAGTCCAGCACCTTAACCACCATGCCACCTGTAGACCCTTATGTTCTACAGATTTTTCAAGCCACTGGGATCCCACATGGGATCCAGCTCCCTCAACCACTGTTCTATGAGGTGTACCCCATACTACTTATTGAATAAATAATCTAATAATAAGACATTCTAGCCCTCTTCCCCCACCATGAACAAATTCCAATAGGTAATATAAGTTATTAATACTATCAAAATTAAGAGAAAATAATGCTGAAGACTTTTTTAAAAAGATTTTTGCCATGGGGCATGTGCGCTCTCTAGGGAGAGACAGAGAGAAAGAGAAAGTGTAAGGTCACATTCAGTAAAGCTCTTCTGAGCACCACCTGCTATCACTCCAGGCCTGACAAGGAACCAAGGCCACCTCTGCAGAATTGGCCTTGGCAGGAGCCCACGCTCCAGGTGCTGCTACTGCAAGGTCATGCTGACCCAGGAAGTAGCAGACAATGACCCTAGGTGAGTACTGAGAGGTCTAACTCCTCCTCCACCCCCAGAGAGATCAAAAATCCCACCAAGTGTTTCATGTATGTTCTCCCACTGTGCCTAACTCCCCAGCAAAGCAGTTGTGCATACAGTCTCCCAGAATAGCTTGGTTGCTCTATAAAAGGCAATCCCTCCTTCCTGGCCCATGGGCTGAAGCGCCTCTGGCTTCTCTGGGCACTCTTTATCTCAATAAACTTTCCTTTGTTCTCTTCAGATGACACCTCCTGAGTCTTGAACCCTAACAGTGACAGAGGGAAAGTGAGAAATCACTCCCCCCACCCCCCGCCCAGGGGAATGGTCACTGCCACAGTTTCTTCCCCTCCATTTTCCTCTTGTGATTTTGGGCATACATGCATATGCAGCCTGTCTGCACCCATTTTGTAAATCACAAATAGTTAGTCAGCTAACACTGCAAAAGACAGCAGATGAACCAGCCGGTGGAGTTGTGGTTAAGGACTGGACCCCACATGGCCAATAGCAGGATGTTTGTGAAAAACGAAACTACTACTGGAAGCACATTACTGAGAATCAAAACAGTCAACTCTATTTCCTAGAGAAAGCTCAGATAACCATTGGGCAATATAACAAAAATGATGGCCATTGTGGTGCATGCAAAAAGGGTGCCACTGGTGATACTAGAGCCACGGGGGAAGACCCTAAGTTTGGTTCCCAGGTCAACCTGAACCAACGGGCATGCTCGCAGGAGCACCCAAGGAAGGCTAGAGGGCTGGGGGAAGGGTCATGGTGTAACAGAATCCCTTCAGGGGCCCCTATCTATCTCTCTCTCGTGATAAATAAGTAAAATAATTTTTTTTGAGAGGTTTTTCGCTATAGGGCACATGCACTCGCCAGACAGACAGAGACAGACAGAGATAGAATGCGAGAAATCACCCCCCAGGGGGCATGGCCACACTATAATCCCTTCTCCTCCATTCTCCTCTCGGGATCTTGGGCACGCATGCACGTACACGCGCCTGGTGTGAGTTTTAAGCTACCAGGTCCGGGATGCAAACTGCGGTCACTACATGGGAGTCTAGCAACATATCCATTATGCTAACTGCTGGTTCCCAGTAAAATAAATTTTTAAAAAAGGAAGGAAAATCACGTATGGTCACTGAGTCACTGTGTAATATTGCAAGCTACAGTCAAGAAGAGAAGGTAAGCCCTCACCCTGTGAGACTATAACCACAAACAGACAACGTATAATGACTAGACAGAAACCAAGTCTGAGAGATCAGGCTATGCAGAAAACACTGTAGAGCACATGAGACCAAATGCACAAATGGGAACGAATCAGGAGTTTCTGTGTAGGGACAAGAGACCATTATTCTAGTCAGGTACAAGTTCAATACCAGCAAGGACTAAAAAGATTAAGTAAACAAAACTTCTTTAGGGAAAACAAAACAGATGTAGTATTAAATTTAAAAATGAAAAGTCAAGGAAAAGGAAAAGATACACGTTCGAAGGGCAGAAGAAACTAATTTCAATCTCTAACCCTAAGGCAATACACGACAAATGAGCATGGCCCAATCCAGTAGTAATTAAAAAGCATTTAAGGACAAGAAGTATGAGTACAGTCTGGGTTTCTATTGACAAATAGCACATTGCCACGGAGCTCATAAAAGAAACTGAGATTTGCCATGGCATGCAGTTTTAAAAACAAAAATAAAAACAAAAACCAAAGTTCTCAGCCTACAGCAACTGAAACAGTAGGGAACTGCTAAGCCTAAGTCCCAGAAATGTTCGGTTCACTCTCACTGCCTTGCTCTGAAGAATGTGAGTGCACAGCGGCCACATGGAAACCCAAACGCTGACCTGCACAGGCTTTCTGTGGGGCAGGCATGGGTGGCTGTACTTACTGGAGTCCTCCCACTGGAGTAAATGCAGCTTCCACGCGGAGTAATACAAAAATCCCAGTACCAGAAAGAGGCAGAGGGCTAGCAGCAAGTTGCGCACAAACACCAAGAGTCCCATCTTCACATGATTTACAATTTCCTACATGACCTAAAAATAAAACAGAACAATTTAGATGGCAAAAGACAAAGCAAATACTCTACCTTAAAACAAAGTATCTATGGAGAAAATTCCCAAATGAAGAACGGAGAGCTGCCACTGAGTCCAGGATATGGCATCTTCCAACTGGTTCGTCCCTACCTCTAGGAACAGCTTCACCTCTACCTGCCACCTACACCAGAAATCAGCAGTCATCGCTACAATGCCCCCACCAAGCCTGGTGATTCTTACCTCCCAAAGTAGATCTCAATCCTATTCCCTTCCTACCCCCACTACTCCAGTCCATGCTGTCTCTGTGTTTCCACAAACAAGTTTTCTGCCTCCACAATGACACTCTCCAAAGTCATAGTCCATACAACACAGGAAATAGCCTTTTTTTTATTTGTTTTTAAGTTTTGTTATACAGTATGTGTGTTCGCCAGAGAGAGAAAGTGAGAAAGTACCCCTCTCCCAGGAAAATGGTCATACTGCAATCCTTTCTCCTCTCAGGATTTTGGACATGCATGTACATGCACCCAGTGTGAAATGCAAGCTGGTGGGTCTCGTACTCAAACCACAGTCAATCATGTGGGAGTCTAGGACTTGAACCACTACCCTACCTGCTACCTCTCTTTTTTCTAAGTTCTGTTATAGGACATGTATGCTCACCAGAGAGAAATAAAGAGAGAGAGAGGGGAATTATCCTCCAGGGGGACAGCTACACTGCAATCCCCTTTCCTCCATTCTCCTCTTGGGATTTTAGGTATGCATGCACATGCTGCTGGCCTGATTTTCAAGCTACCAGGTCTGGGACTTGAACTGTGCAGCTGACCATGTGGGATTCCACATCTTAACCTCCATGCTACCTGCTGGCCTCCTGGAATAACATTTTTTTTTAAAAGAATTATTTAATCTTACTTATTATTATTATTTTTTTATTTTGACGAGAGAGAGAGGGAGAAAGAAAGAGTAAATGAGAATGCAAACTGCAAGGCCCAGAACCTGAATTGTGGTCGACCATGTAGAAGTCCAACACCTTAACCACCATGCCTCCTGCTGGCCCCTGGAGTAGTCTTTTCTTTTTTTTTTTAAGAATTATTTTATTTAACTTTATTTATTTATTTTAATTTGATCAGAGAGAGAGAGAGAGAGTGAGAGAGACTGTGAGAGAGAGAGAGAGGGAATATGAGAAGCAAGCCACCTGGTCCAAGATTCAAACTGAGGTCAGCCATGTGGGAGGAGTCCACCACCTTTAACCACCATGCCCCTGCTGGTGGGACCTGCAGTAGCCTTGTTTTGTTTTGTTTTTTGGAGAGGTTTTTGCTATAGGGTGTGTGTGCTCACCAGAAACAAAGCCAGAGAGAGACAGAGAGACAGAAAACGAGAAATCACCCCCCAGGGGAATGGTCATACCACAATCCCTTCTCCATTCTCCTCTCGGGATCTTGGGCACACACACACATGCGGCTTGAACTGCGGTCAACTACATGGAGTCCAGCAACATAGCCATTATGCCAACTGCTCGTCCCAGAGTAGCATTTTAATAACATAGAATCTGAGTTACGTTTTTTGCTTAAATTCCTTTATGTTGGTTTTCTACTGGTGCAGTTGCAAAGTGCTACAGTCTAAAACACCAATTTATCATCCCAGAGTTCTGAGGGCCTAAGTCAGCTACAGTGGGGCTCAGCTGAGTCTTAGCCTAGCCTCACAGGGCCAGGCCCAGGTCTCAGCCATGATGCATTCCTCTCTGGAGGCTCCAGGGAAGAGCCCACCTCCAAGCCCACTCAGGCTGTTGGTGGAATGAGGCTCCTGGCAGTCATAGGACTGAGGGACCCATTTCCTGGTGGGGCATCCGAAGAAGCCAGTCTTAGTTCTGCAGTCTTTAATGCTGTCCATGTGGGCCCTGCCAGCCACAGCAGGTAAAGTCTCTCTCACTCTGAATCTCTCCACCTTCCCCTTCCTGTCTTGTGTCTGCTGCCCACCAGAGAAACTCCCTTTGCTTTTCAGGGCTCATGTGACTATATTGGGCCCAGCTGAAGAGTCCTGGCTAATCTTCTTATTTTAAGGTCTATAATCTTAATTATAAATGACTTCAAAAAATTCACAGAAAATGCCTATTATGGATCAACTCTAAATGGATTTAAAAATTTTTTTGCAGCAGGGCCAGCAGGTGATGTGGTGTTGAAGCACTGGACTCTCACATGGCTGACCAGTTTGAGTCCCGAACCTGATAGGATGATTTTTCACTTTCTCTCTCTTGCCAAAATAAATAATAATAAGGGAACCAGCAGTTAGTGTAATGGCTATGTCGCTGGACTCCCACATAGTTGACCGCGGTTCACGTCCCGGACCCGGTGGCTTAAAACTCACACCGGGCGCGTGTGCGTGCGTGCCCAAGATCCCGAGAGGAGAATGGAAGAGAAGGGACTGAGGCATGACCATCCCCCCTGGGGGGTGATTTCTCGCTTTCTGTCTCTATGTCTCTCTCTGTCTGTCTGGTGAGCGCACGCACCCTATAGCAAAAATCGCTCCAAAAAATAAATAAATAAATAATAATAATAATAAAATTAAATATACTTTTTAAAAATTGCACCAAAATTGACTCATTTTAATTCCATTTAGCTACCAACATTTTTTATTATTTAACTTTATTCATCATTATTATTTTTTAAAATTTGACCAGAGAGAGAGAGAGGGAAAGTAAGAAAGCAAACTGCCAGGTCTGGGACTCGAACCGTGTTAGCCATGTGGTAGTCCAGTGCCTTAATTATCACACCACCTGCCAATCCCCACATTTAGCTACACACTTTTAAAGTCCCCTCTTAACCTGAAAAGTCCCTTTTGTTCCAAGAACATATTTAAAGGTTCCTGGAATTAGGGTCGGAACATCTTCTACAGGCCTTTCTCCCTAATACACCTTTTATTCTCAATTCTTCCAAAAAGTAGTTGCTCCTTAAAGCCTAGCAGCTTTGGACCAAGTCCCCATTTTTCTCCAACCGCTCCTCCCAACCTCCTCTGTGTCCTATGTTCCAGTTACTCTTCCTTCTACACACTGAACTCGGCCTTTCTTCTCTTGGCAAGGCTGGAGAGGGTACAATCCTCACCCACCCTGCCACTGTACCTGCTGTGCATCCCTTCATCTCCACCTTAGCTGCAACATCTGCCAGAAAGACCTCCTCTCCAACCCCAGATAGCCTGGCCACAAAATGCACAAGAAAATGAAATTACATGTACATATTAACAATAATGACAATAACAATATAACAATTATATCATTGTCCACCTACAAAGCCAAGGAAACCAAGGAAAAAATTACTAGGATAGGAAGTTCAGCAAAGTAAGTGATTATAAGATTTACTAAAAAAAAAAAGTGTTGTTTAAAAAAAAATTATTTAATTGTGTTCATTATTATTATTTTTTTAAATTTGCCATAGGGTACAGACACTCACTGGAGACAGAGAGAGAGAGAGAGAGAACACAAAAAAGTAAGCTTCCAGGTCCAGGATTCAAACCATGGTTGGCCATATGGGAGTCCAGTGCTCCAACCACCACGCCACCTGCTGGTCCCCCATCAGTGTCTTAAAAACTATACCAGTGATAGGGGACAGCAGCTGGTACAGTGGTTAAGACGCTGGACTCCCACATGGCCAACCACAGTTCGAGTCCTGGATTCAGGAACTTGAAACTCATGCCAGGTGTGTGTGTGTATGCATGCCCAAATCCAAGGAGGAGAATACAGGGGAAGGGATTGTGGCATGGCCATTCCCCTTGTAGGGTGATTTCTCACTTTTCCTCTTACTGTCTCTCTCTGCCTCTTGGTGGAAGCACATGCCCTATGGCAAAAAACTAAAAACAAAACACCACACTAGTGATAACCAATTACAAATTTTAAGGTGAAAAAAATCTACTTATGATGTTAATAAAATCTATAAAATATCTAAAAATAAACTTAGGAAGAAATAGGCAAGATTTGCACCAAATAACATAAAAGATTTAAATAAATGAAGAGACATAACATAGGTTCTTAAGTGGGAAGAGTCAAAACAGGATATATAGGGCCAGCCAGTGGTGTGGTAGTTAAGGTGGCTGGACCCCACATGGCCAACTGCATGGTTGAGTCCTGTATCCAACGACTTGAAAAATATGCTGTGTGTGTGTGTACGTGCACGTGCATGCCCAAAATCCCGAAAGGAGATGGAGAAGGGACTGCAGTGTGGCCATTCCCCATGGAGTGTGCTTTCTCACATTCTCTTTCTATGTCTGTCTCTCTCCAGCATATGCACATGCTCTCTAACAAACTTCTTTTTTCGTTGGAAATATATCAGTTCTTTGTAAATTCAGTTTAATTCTAGTGAAAATCTGTATTTTTGAACTTGGGTCAAAAATAAAAAAAGCGTCATGCTCAAGAGCCAAGAAATTCTTTAAATGAAAACTAATGAGGGGTAGGCAGGTGGCATGGTGGGTAAGGGCGCTGGACTCCCACAGAGCCAACCACAGTTCAAGTCCTGAACCTGGCGGCTTGCTTTCTTATTTTCCGTCTCTCTCCTTCTTTCTCTGCCCCTCTCTGGTCAAATTAAAAATAAATAAAGTTAAGTAAAATAATTCTTTTTTTAAAAAAAGAAAAAGAATGAGATGAGAATTTGCCTTAGTAGATATTAAAACCAATTCAAGCCATAATTAATATACATGAGTATTGGCACAAGAAAAAATAAACAGATCAATGGAATAAGATACAGTCTAGAAATGAACTCTCTCAGACACACACATACATATATACATATATTCCCGCACACACAGACACGAAGTAGCTTACTTTTCCTATATATAAACATATGTATATACTTACAAAAAAAGTATAAATATAAAAGCGGGGAGGAAAGACTTGTTAGGCTATATAAATGTTAGCTTGGTTATCTGTAGGAAATAGGACAGGATAATGAAAAATTAATCACTGAGAAGACTTTTACTTTTCACTTCACACATTTCTGAATGAAATTATTTTGTAGTAAGTC